TTCGAGGTCTAGTTCATGCCTTCCGCGGGTGTGTGAGAACCAGAAAAGGGGAACCGCTAATTGCGGAGCACCGGTTGATGGACCGTGACTCTTCCATGCTTTCGTATCATCAACGGCGATGGTACATTCTCTGTTTAGTCCTCTGCAAAAAACACGATCGCTGACAACGGCACCTGAGCCCTCCGCGAGCGCACTGCGCTTTGTGGTTACAGCAGCTCGTTCATGCTTGACCGCTACAAATTTGTGACCCAGACATGAGTTGAAAACGCATTCTTCAGAGCACGAAAACTGTTCAAACCTTCTGATCCGACGGACAACCTCTTCAAGAAATTCCAACTCGACTTCACCGTACTGTCTTCCCTGCGTTATGCATCGTGGCCACGGATAGGAAGACACGGTGCCGACACCCTGTCGCGAATCGAGATTGACGTTTTCCGATCAGCCGTACAAGTCTAGGTCGAACCCCAATCAACTTATTTTGGAGCAATCAGGTAACTGTGTTGCTATTACATCTCTCCTGCGTACGAGAGATTCCTCCCCCATTGCCAACGAAACATCATCCATGAATTATTTTCATGCACTCAGTCTGCTAACGCAAAGGCATGATGAAAGTTCAGACCGCATTCTATCTCAGTTTTTGTCTGGATGAAAGTGAGCCTATTTCATTGATGTATTCTTTCGACTCCACCCTCGTTGAGGGGCCTTATGTCCTGAATGTTTTTTTTCTCATATAAACGTGCCAACTCGCCAGCGCACCTTGCCGAGAGACTGTCGATACTATGCACTGGATTATCTCTACTACTTCATCATTTGCGTCACGATCGACGTCTGACGGGGAGCTGTGACGAACATTGGTGTCCGACTTCCCTGTCCAATGCTCCGCTGTCTCAAGGTCATGCAAATTCGCAGGGGAACGCTTTCCGACCTGCAGACGCTTGGCAGCAGTTCACTCGCGCACGCACGCACGCACGCACGCCCCTCCAGGTAGTAGCGGCTGCCCAAGGACCAATTGAACACGCCACTCT